ATTTTACATCCTAAACAAACACATAATTCCAAGGTTGAAGGTTACATAACAATAAAAAAAATTGTAGCTCAAAGGAGAGTTTCTTGCAAACTACCCAATTTTATACTGACAAGGTATGGAATAAGAATAAATATGGCTTTAGAGGCTCTTCATTCCAACCTAATTATCATACATTCTTTATGTCCTCCTAATATCTGACATGAAAATATCTTTCAGGGTTTACTCTTATCTACATAACAACCTGTAATGGTTTGCTCCATGCTTTGTAGTGTTTTTCCCTTTTTTCAAAGTTTTTTAGTAAAATGCTAATTGGAGTCTGTGGCCTCTGGTTTCAACTTTAGCCAAGGCTGAATTAAAAAAATGGGGACATAAGATTTTTTAACTTCCGCATCTGTGAGAGTCACAATTTACTATCCAAAACAGAATGGCTAATAAAAACCCTTGTGTGTGACAGAAAAGAACATGAGGACAATAATTTTACTCTATGGAACAGAGATTAAGCAAAGTAGTTTTAAGCAATATAATCTCATGATGAATCTTCCAGCATAAACTAGTTGCAAAATGTAACCCTATGTGATTGAGTTTACTGCTCTGTAGGTTTAACTACACATCGATTAAATGATGGAAGATATCTGCCACAATTATGATTTGGATTTTCAAATAGGTCATCTTAAACTATTCTTTCTGTTACTAATTAAGGTGTCTGTTGAGGTAAAAGCCGTATTTTCAAAGTGTAAGAGAATTCTATTTTGTTTTGGATGTCAGTTGAACATGTATGTCATTCAGAATCAGTATTAGGTCACTATGATGGGAGTTTTAAAAAGAAGAGCTGAGAAAGGCTGTGTACATCCCTTTTTATCCAGCTTGAATTGACCATCTGATACGTTAAAATGCTATTTCTATTAACCTTGATCCTCAGGGCAGGTTTAAGCTTTATATAAGAATTGGTAACAGAGTTCCTGTATTCAGCTCACAGATTGGTCCTGTATGCAAATTCAATAGCTGAGAAAAGACACAAATTACAGAAGAACTATAATGACCTACAACTAGGATATGCAACTATGTACCGGGGCTTTGGGGAGGGAAAAAAAAAAAGAGGAAGATCGGCAACAGATGTTAGCTCAGAGCCAGTCTTCCTTACCAAAAAGCATACTTTAAAAACAAAAGGGTGGGGGGGCTGGGAGCTGGCCCAGTGGCGTATGGGTTAAATTCACATGCTCTGCTTCTGTGGCCTCGGGTTCGCAGGTTCTGATCCCAGGCATGGACCCACCACTGCTCACCAACCCATACTATGGCAGAGTCCCACATAAAATAGAGGAAGATTGACGTAGATGTTAGCTCAGCACCAGTGTTCCTCTAGCAAAAAGAGGAAGATTGGCAACAGATGTTAGCTCAGGGCCAATCTTCCTCACACACAAACACAAAAAAATTACAAATTACAAATAATCTTCTGTTGTTCCTTATCAATTTCCTCACAACATAAGGATAATGTTCAGAAGGGGTGCCTAAGGTTTGCTTATGCCTCATATAGACTAGTGTTCTGAGAACCCCTAATGTGCAGAGGAGGCCACAGTGCTTGGCTGTGGCTCTCTCCTACAGCTAGACAGCTCTTGAAGGATTCTAATAAGCTCTCTTTTTCCTTGCCCCTTTAGGGCAAGGATGATAATAGCTTCCCACTGTTGCCAGTCTCAGAGTGCTTCACTGTCGTTCGTTGGTTCCTTTAACCCTGTCCTCACTTTTGTAAATAGTCCTTTCATTAGAGATCTCTTTCTTGCCAGAACCCTGATTGATAGTTATAGGAATTGAGAGTAGCCTCAAGAAAAAAACCTCACTTTCTGGAATGGTGTCACTCACATATCCTATGATTATCTGTATAAACTACTTTCCACAGGAAATGAAACAATGGTATTCCATAGCATAGAGTGGCATCACAGTTAGTCTTTGACCACCAACAGTGGCATGAGATGGAGTGCTGATGGAAGACACAGCAGTGGAAGATCAATCTTGAGCACTTACTGCTTTGACACTGATGATTGCTAAAATTGTAGTGTCATTTGTTCTGACTGCTTCTGCGAGAATATATGGGAAAAATGACAAATAGCCTTGAATTCCAAACTTAAGGCATGAGTAGAAAATCGGAAAGCTTCTTTGACAGCTTAGAAGAAACCTATTTCTCTTGCAGCTGCAGGGCAGATATGGCTGAAGATCAACTCAAGATCTAATAGTAAAGGTTACAGAGTTGCAATGTCAATTAAATGTGAGACATAGATCTGCTATGCTAAGGTAAGAGCAGTGATGGAGAAGGACTGGGCCCTGTAACATGACATGGGGCATCTGGGCAAATGTGAATGAGGCTGAGAACTCTGGATAAGAGTTAGATTTCAGCATAGCCTTGATGGAGGAGGACAAGACCTGTTCTTGGAGAAGAGAACTGAGGCACTGAAGGAATTACAGGATCTTACCAAATATCTGTGATTCAGATTTGATTTGTTGACTTGAACAGCTGGTAGTTCTTCTAAATTGGTTACTTGCAGCTGGTAGTCCATATGATGAGATGCCGGAAATTCTGTGGCATACTGTATAGGAAGGAATCTGAAGATTTAGGGAATGGGAATGTTGGACTTGCTGTGTCGTCTTGCCCACTCATGTTCTATTCATACCATCTCTAGGAGATCCCACAAAATTTACCTTTTTCAAGGCATTGAGTAAAGGGCCACAGATATCTCTGGAAAATTCTTTGGTGGCTGTCCTCAGTTGTTTGAAGATGATGATGGAAATGCCACAATGAAATCAAGATCTATGATTTCAGTGGGAATATTGGGATTCATCGTGGTAGAGGCCAGGTGGGAGATTCTTAACTGTCAAAGACATGTTCAGTACAATTATCATGATAACCCTCAGGAAGAAGTGATAATCAGGTGTTTGACTGCAAGGATTTTTGGTGGTGGCCTATGATCACCAAGTCTATAGGAAAGAAAGAAACCAGCAGCCGACTTAAGTGTTGCTTGACATAACGTAAGCAGAAAAATTCTAGGTCTGATGAGCAGAAAGCTAACTCAAGTTACTGTAAGGGAGATTCAGTGGAGATTATCCTATTCCTAGACTACAGCCAGTTCACAAACCTGGAGTCTCTTAATTGAGGGAGAAGCCAGGTTCTTTTGAGGAAGGATCCTGCAGTACAGCCAGGTATAAACTGAATATTCCCTGAGGCAATTCCCAGAGGGACTTTTGGCCTTTACCAGGGTGACTGTCAACTGAGGAATGGGGAAATTCCCACATCTTTTAGAGGTTAATAGATATTGGCCCTGAACACTAATTCCTGCAGTCTCAAAATACCAAAATTCCAGTGATCAGAGTAGAGACTTAAGAAAGTCAGGTGTAGTCTTGGTCTATAAGAGATGGAAAGTCAGGTCCATTTCACAGTGAGTAGAGTGGGTCTGAACACCCATGTGGGGTTATTTTTCTAGTTCCAAAATATATGTGGGAGTAGCTTTATCAAGTAGCAGAATTCCTACATTAGGTTCATATGAAGTGAGGGCTATTATGATTGGAAGGGCCAAGTGAGACCTTCCCAGTTAACCCCTCCCTTGTGCCCCAGTAGAAAATCAAAATTAAACTTTATCAGTGAGGGAATTACAGAAAAGTAGCGCCACCATTAAAGATCTGAAAGATAGAAGTCTTTCTCTTTTAACTCAACTGTTTGGCTCATGGAATAGCCAAATTAGTTTTGGAGAATGTCTATGGATTATTAAAAATTTAATCAGATGTTGATGTCAATCATTGTTGTAGTTCGACATGTGGAATCTCTACTAGAGCAAATCAACACAGCCCTTGGCACCGAGAATGTAGCTATTGACTTGAAACCTAGAATACAGCTTTCTCTTCAATTCCCATCAACAGAAGTAATCAGAAGCAGTTTCCTTTACATGACTGGGGACAGCACTGTCACTGTCTTACCTCAGGGCTGTTTAAGTATTTCTGTTCTAATATGGTATCATTCCAGAGGGACCTTTGTTTCCTTGATATCCAGTAGAACATCATCCTAGTCTATTATCTTGATGACTTTGTGCAAATTGGATTGATGAGCAGAAAGTAGCAGCCACCCTAGACAGCTTTAAAGACCCTTATATCAGAGGATTGGAAATAAACTCAGTTCAGAGACCTGCACAGGAGTGAAATTTCTAGCAGTCCAGTGGAGTTATGGAGTTCCACCTTGCATTGGCCTGCTCAAAGAAAGATGCACAGTGCTCGGTTGGCCTGTTTGGATTTTGGAGCCACCATACTGCATTTGCTGCTCTCTGACCCATTTACCATGTAACCTATATGATTACCAGTTTTTCTTGTTACTTGGAAAAACAGAATGCCCTGTAGAAGGTCTGGTTATGGCACAAGCTGCACTGATACTTAGGTTTTAGTATTCAGCAGACTCAGTGGTAATTGAGGATGTTATATGGAGTTTCTTGCCTGCCCAATAGGAGAAACCCAGTGCAGAGCCCTAGGGTTTTGGAATAAGAACATGCCTTCTCTGTTGACAACTGTTCTCCATTTGAAGGGCAGCTCTTGGCTTGCCACCAGGCCTTGGCAGAGACTAAACACCTGACCATGAGTAACTATGTGATATGAACTGCTCTTTAGGAACTGCATGTTACCTAATTTGCTGAAACATAAATTGAACAAAGCAGCAGAATTCCACTGTCAAATGGAAAGGTATATACTGGGGTGGGCTGAACTAATCTGGAAGACACAAGTAAATTACATGGATAAACGTCCATTGTACCTGCCTCTACTTCTTTGCCACCTTTTTTTTTTTTCCCATAAGGAAGATTGGCCCTGAGCTAACATCCGTTGCCAATCCTCTTGAGGAAGATTGTCACTGAGCTAACATCTGTGCCAATCTTCCTCTATTTTCTATGTAGGATGCTGTCATAGCATGGCTTGGTGAGTGGTGTGCAGGTCCATGCATGGGATCCAAACCCACAAACCCCGGACCGCCAAAGCAGAGTGCATGAACTTAACCACTACACCAGTGGGCTGTCCCCTGCCTCCTTTGTTTTGAACCATACCTTTGGGCTTATGGTCATGTAGCAGAGGAACAAAAAGCTTGGACCTGGTTTATTAATGGTCTGCATGATATACTGCACCAACTGGAAGCATACAGCCACTGAATTATGGCTCCACTCCATAATGAGGTGGTCTTGAAAAATAGTGATGAAGAGAAACTCTACCAGTGGTCACAACTTTGAATAGAACATCTGATTGTTCTCTTTGTTAGAAAGGAGAGATGGCCTGAGGTATGAGTCTATACTGATTTATGTACAGTGGCTAATAGGTTGGCCAATAACTTTGAAAGAAGAAGGTCTGAGATAAGGAAGTCAGTGGGAGAGGTATTACAAATGGATTCCCAAAATTGGCCCAGAATGTAAAAATATCTGTGAACTACATACTTGCCCACAAGAGGGCATCCATCCCAATACAGTCATGTGCTGTATAATGTCATTTTGGTCAGTGATGGACAGCATATATGACAGTGGTCCCATAAGATTAGTACCATATAGGCTATATTTGTAGTGGGCTACACCATCCAGGTTTGTGTAAGTACACTCAATGATGTTTGCACAATGACAAAATCACCCAATGATGCGTTTCTCAGAACATACCCCCATCATAAAGTACTGTGTGACTGTACTCAGGTATACAAGATGATCTGTCCTATAGATGTCAGTCAGCCTTCACCCACTCACCATAGTGCAAGTTCAGCAGGCCCACGTGGCAATAGGAATGGAGACTAAACATGGATTCAACAGCGTGGACTTCCACTTGCCAAGGATAATACTTACTGCCACTATGGGGTGTTTAACCTGCTTATAGCAGAGGCCATTACAGAGACCCCAGTATGGTTCTGTTCCCTAGACAGACCAGTCAACCTCCTAGTGGCAGCTTAATTACACTAGATCCCTTCCATTATGGAGGGAACAACGATCTGTTCTTATGGGAATAGATACATTTCCAGATACAGGTTTACGTGCCCTGCCTGGAAAGCTTCTACTAGTAACACAAATCATGGACTTACAGAATCCCTTATTTCATCACTCTGTATCATCAACAACACTAAATTTGAGCAAGAAACTCATTTTACTATGAGGGAAGTATGGCAATGGACTCATGCCCATCGAATTAACTGATCTTACCTCAAACCCATCACTCAGAAGAAGCTAATTTGATAGAATGGAGGAAAAGTCTGCTGAAGGATCAGTTGTGGTACTGGCTGAGAGATAACCCCTGTGAGGATATGATACAAGACTTAACCCAGTAGCCAATACATGTTGTCTTCTACTGCATATTCAGGATACATGGGCCTAGGAACCAAAGGGTAGAGGTAGGGGTGGCTCTTCTATTATTCCTAATAACTCACTTGAAGAATTTTTTGTTTCTGTAACTTTTTCTCTACAATTTCGTCTTTAAAACACTGGGCTCAGTGTATCTGAACCCCCTAGTGTGCCCATGGGACAGGTACTTTCCCCAGATAACACAATCACAGTTCCATTAAATAAGAAGCTGAAACTACCACCTAGCTGATATAAGGTCTTCAGACCCGTGAGCCAGCAGTTAGAGGGGGGATCATTGTGCTGCTTGGGCTGACTGGTCCTAATTACCAAGGGGAAATTGGTTGTTGCTCCACAAAGAGAACAAGGACTATGTCTGGAACCCCAGATATGCACTAGGGTACCTCTTGGTGTTCACCTGTCCAGTATTACTGGACAATGGGAAACCGCAGCAACCCAGTAAAGATAAGATTGCTAAGGACTTGGATTCTATGAGAGTAAAGTTTGGGTCTCCCCACCAGATGAGTTACTACTGGAGGGTAAGAGGAAAATGGAAGCTATGATCATTACCTTGGGCCTTGTGCTCAAAAACTATCCTCTCTCCTCTTTCCTTATTAACAGAACCACAATTTTGTTGACCTTTTCTGAGTGCCTATGACCATCAGAGGAGATGGAGACCCATCCCACTTGTGAGGAGTAAATCTTGATTGGCCTAGCCTCATTCCTCTTGTTAAAGGGATGGTTTAGGCTTAGACAATTCTGGACAATGACACATGAGGAAAACCCCGATGGAATGCTTATAGGAAGAATTTCCTCACTTTTGACAAGGTACACAAGACACAGACATGACTTTTTCTGTGTCTAGGCATGTCTATCTGCCTCTGATGACTGGAATGGCAAGTGCCATTTTGGAACCATGAGAGGAGCCCACATTAGAAAATAAGGTGAGACACTGAGGATGGTAGAGTGCAACCTTGGTCCTTGTGGCAAAGTCTACTGGTATTCTCCAATATCCATTTCCCTTCTTTCATTAGTATTAGACCCCCTAAATTTTAGTTGGATACATGGTATATTTATCAATAGGTGGGACATTTACTGGTCAAGGATATTTGAGTAGAGGTGATATGTGAAACTTCTGGGTTGTACCTTTAGAAAGGATATATCAACTTCTTCCCTTTCTTCCCTTCTACCTGGCTAGAATGAAGATGTGAATACCCAAGCAGCCATCTTGGATTATACGATGGAAGTCCCAAGTTAAAGGTGGAAGAAAGCATAAAGAACTTAGGTTCCTTAATATTTTGAAGCCACTGTATTAGCCCTGGATGGCTTATGCTCAGATTATTTCTTCAGAGAGAAATAAATATATGTCTTAAGCCACTGTAATTTTTTACAGCAGCCAAATCCATATCCTAAGTAATATAGTCCATGATGATGTTGAGCTGATGAATTAACTGACTATCTTCAAAAAAATTATGTGACAGTAAATGTCCTTGTTGTTTAAACCATTTTGAGTTGCAGCAAAAAACGTTCTGATACAAATACTGTTCAAAGATTGCCAGGTGCAGAGGGAAGGAGTGAGCTGGAGTGTCAGCAACTGAGAAACTCCTGATTGAGAGAGGCCTTTTCTTCTGATGGAGGAAATGAGCATGGTGAAGGAACCAGTGGAAGAAAAAATAATTGACAATACAGAAGAAAGGGAAAAATTTATGGAGTAACATCCCAGAGAAGTTAAGAAGAAAGACGATCAGAATGACGTCAGCATCATGGTGGAGTGAGCTCTTCCCTTAGACTCTCCCTCCTAAGCCCTAAGAGGCAACAAAAAGGACACTCATAAACCAATAGAGGACATTCACACAACACAATAGACATATGAGAGATCCATGCAGCCATACACCTGAAGGTGGAGGTGCTGAGCCCCTGGGGAGGCAGTGGAAGGAGGTAAGGGAATTTCCTGTCCTTCCCCAAATGGCAGCAACCTAGGGTGTGGGACTGGGTGCAGCTCTGGGGGGGTAGGGGTAGCCCTCCATGGGAATGCCTTTGCTCTTGGAGTTTGTCTCCCAGCCCATGGGAAAGCTTTATTCCCAGGAGGCTAAGCAATTGCAGGGGCATCTTCACCAAGCTGAGCACCCCAGGAGGGCAGACAGCGAGTGCAGAGTGGGAGCACCTCAGGATCATACATGTGAAAGAAAATGCCCCTCCCCACACCTGGTGCACCAGCTTGGTCAGTCAGCCAGAGCAAGGGATCCCCACAAGAGCCCTGTGCATACATTTATAAAGCAGTGGTGGCAAACAGGCAAACACAGGCCCTGTCAGCATAGCTTCCAGAGGACAAGCACAACTGCCAGGGATCGTGGCAGGTTTAGAATACACAGCTCCTGCCTCCCCCTGCCCCCCAACACCAAATGGCGGCAGGTGGAATCTGCAGCCAGATACCACCACTATGTCAAGGCACAAATCCACCACATCAAATAGTATGAAGAGGTATATTAACACTCCAGACCAGAAGGAAAATGACAAGCACCCAGAAGCCAATCCTGAAGGCACAGAAATTTACAATCTAAATGACAGAGAATTCAAAATAGCTATCATTAAAGAACTCAACAAGTTACAAGAAAACTCAGAAAGACAGTTCAATGAAATCAGGAATAAAATTAACAAACAAAGGGAATGCTTCACAAAAAGAGATTGAAACCATAGGAAAAAAAACCCAATCAGAAATGTTGGAGATGAAAAACACAATGAATGAGATAAAGAAAAATCTGGAGTCCTTAAATAACTGAGCTGATATTATGGAGGACAGAATTAGCAATTTAGAGGACAGATATATAGAAATGCTTCAGATGGAGGAGGAGGAGAGAACTAAGCCTGAAAAAGAAATGAAGAAATTCTAAGAAATATCCCACTCAATTAGGAAATGCAACATAAGGATTATAGATTTTCCAAAGGGAGAAGAGAGGGAGAAAGGAGCAGAGAGCTTGTTCAAAGAAATAATAGCTGAGAACTTCCCAAGCCTGGGGAAGGAGCTGGAATTACAAGTAAAAGAAGCTGATATAACTCCTAATTACATCAATGTAAAAAGACCTTCTCCAAAGCATATATTACTAAAGTTGGCAAAAGTAGACAACAAAGTAAAAATACTAAGGGCAGCAAGGCAGAAGAAAATAAACTACAAAGGAACCCTTATCAGGCTTTCAGCAGATTTCTCAGCAGAAACCTTATAGGCTAGGAGAGAGTGGAATGATATATTCAAAATTCTGAAACACAAAAACTTTCAGCCAAGAATACTCTATCCACCAAAAATATCCTTCAGATATGATGGAAAAATAAAAACTTTCCAAGATAAACAAAAGGTGAGGGAGTTTGTTGCCACAAGATCCACACCCCACCCCCCAACCAGCACAGGAAATGATCAAGAAGGCCCTCATACTTGAAAAAAAAAAAAAGAGGTTTACAAAGCCTTGAGCAAGGAAATAAGTAGGCAGACAAAATCAGAGAATTGCAGCTGTCTATCAGAACAGGTTAGATAACACTTAATTATAACATTAAACATAGAGGGAAGGAAGACATAAAAAATAACTATAATCACTTCATTTTAACCACAAACTCACAATACAAAACAGAATAAGTTATAACAACAATAACTTAAATGGAGATGAGGAAAGGAAAAGAACCTGCTTGGACTAAGGAAATAAGAGGCTGTCAGAAAATGGACCGTCTCATCTACAAAATCTTTTATACAAATGTCACAGTAACCACTAAACAAAAAATCAGAACAGAGACACAAATAATAAATAAAGAGAAAACTGAGAAAACCATCATAGAGAACCATCAAACTGAATTGGCAGTCCAAAATACACAGGATGAGAAACAAGAGAAATATGGAACAACTGGAAAACAAGTGATAAAATGGCAGCATTAAGCCCTCATATATCAGTCATCACTCTAAATGTAAATGGATTGAATTCTCCAATAAAAAGACATAGAGTGGTTGGATGGATTAAAAAACCAGACCCAACAATATGCTGCTTCCGGGAAACACAGCTCTAAAGACAAACACAGGGTCAGAGTGAAGGGATGGGAGATGATATGCCAAGTTAATAGCAAACAAAAGTGGGTGTTGCCATACTTATATCAGACAAAGTAGACTTCAAGATGAAACAGGCAATGAGAGAGAAAGAGAGTCAGTATATAATGATAAAAGAGACACTCCACCAAGAAAACATACCCTTTGTAATTATATATGCACTGAACACAGGAGGACCAAAGTACATAGAGCAACTATTAACAGACCTAAAAGGAGATATTAACAGCAACACAATAATAATAGGGGACTGTAGCACACACTTACATCAATGGATAGATCATCCAGACAGAAAGTCAACGAGGAAATAGTTAAATGAAAAACTAGACCAGATGGACTTAATAGATAGATACAGAACACTCCATCCAAAAACAGCAGAATACACATTCTTCTCAGGTGCCCATGGAACATTCTCAAAGATAGACCATCTGTTGGGAAACAAGGCAAGCCTCAACAAATTTAAGAAGATTGAAATCATCTCAAGCATCTTTTCTGACCATAAGCTATGAAACTAGAAATCAACTACAAGAAGAAATCTGGGAAAGTGACAAATATGTGGAGACTAAACAATGTGCTACTGAACAACCAATGGATTATTGAAGAAATTAGAGGAAAACTCAAAAAATACCTAGAGACAAATGAAAATGAAAATACACCATACTGACTCATATGGGATACAACAAAAGCAGCCCTAAGAAGGAAATTCATAGCAATACAGGCCCACTTTAACAAACAAGAAAAATCTCAAGTAAGCAATCTTAAACTACATCTAGAAGGATGAGAAAAAGAAGAACAAACAAAGCCCAAAGTCAGCAGAAGGAGGGAAATAATAAAAATTAGAGCAGAAATAAATGAAATTGAAACAAAAAAGAGTAGAAAGGATCAATGAAACTAAGAGCTGGTTTTTTGAGAAGATAAACAAAATTGACAAACGCTTAGCCAGACTCACTAAGAAAAAAAGAGAGAAGGCTCAAATAAATAAAATTAGAAATGAAGAGGAGAAATTACAATGGATACCACAGAAATATAAACAATTATAAGAGAATACTATGAAAAATAATATGCCAACAAATGGGATAGTTTAGGAGAAATGGATAAGTTCTTAGATTGATACAACCTCCCAAAACTGAATCAAGAAGAAATAGAGAATCTGAACAGACCAATCACAAGTAAAGAGATTGAAACAGTAATCAAAAATCTCCCAAAAAATAAAAGTCTGGGACCAGATAGCTTCCCTGGAGAATTCTACCAAACATTCAAAGAAGATATAATACCTGTCCTTCTCAAACTATTCCAAAAAATGGAAGAAGACAAAATACTTCCTAGCACATTCTATGAGGCCAACATTACCCTGATCCCAAAGCCAGACAAGGACAACACAAAGAAGGAAAATTACAGGCCAATATCACTGATTAACATAGATGCAAAAATCCTCAACAAAATATTGGAAAACCAAATATAGCAATACGTTAAAAGGATCATACACCATGATCAAGTGAGATTTATACCGGGGATAAATCTATAGGGATGGTTCAACATCTGCAAATCAATCAATGTGATACATCACATTAACAAAATGAGGAGTAAAAACCACATGATCAGGGCTGGCCTGGTGGTGTAGTGGTTAAGTTTGTGTGCTCCCCTTTGGTGGCCTGGGGTTTGCAGGTTCAGATCCTTGGGTGGACCTACACACCGCTCATCAAGCCATGCTGTGGTGGTGTCCAAAATACAAAACAGAGGAAGATTGCCACAAATGTTATCTCAGGGACAATTTTCCTCAGGCAAAAAGAGGAAGATTGGCAATAGATGTTAGCCCAATCTTCCTCACCAAAAAAACCCAAACAAACAACTCCATATGATCATCTACATGGATGCAGAGAAAGCATTTGACAAGATCCAACATCCGTTTATGATAAAAACTCTCAATAAAATGGGTGTAGAAGGAAAGTACCTCAACATAATAAAGGCTATATATGACAAACCCACAGCCAACATCATGCTCAACAGGGAAAAACTGAAAGCCATCCTCTGAGAACAGGAACAAGACAAGGGTGCCCACTCTAGTCACTATTATTCAACATAGCACTGGAGGTTTTGGCCAGAGAAATTAGGCAAGAAAAAGAAGTAAAAGATATCCAAATTGGCAATGAAGAAAGGAAACTTTTGTTCTTTGCAGGTGATATGATTTTATATATGGAAAACCTTAAAGAATCCATCAGAAAATTATTAGAAATAATCAACTACTACAGCAAAATTGCAGGGTATGAAATCAACTGGAAAAAATCAGTTGCATTTCTATACTCTAATAACGAACTAACAGAGAACTCAAGAATACAATCCCGTTTACAACTGCAACAAAAAGAATAAAATATCTAGGAATAAATTCAACCAAGGAGGCAAAAGACCTATATGATGAAAACTATAAGACATTATTGAAAGAAATTGATGATGACATAAAGAAAAGAAAAGATGTTCCATGCTCATAGACTGGAAGAACAGACATAGTTAAAATGTCCAAACTACCTAAAGCAATCTACAGATTCAATGCAATCCCAATCAGAATCCCAATGACATTCTTCATGGAAATAGAACAAAGAATTCTAAAATTCATATGGGACAACAAAAGACCCCGAATAGCTAAAGCAGTCCTGAGAAAAAGGAACAAAGCTGGAGGCATCACAAACCCTGACTTCAAAATATACTACAAAGCTCTAGTAATCAAAAGAGCATGGTCCTGGTACAAAAACAGACACAGATCAATGGAACAGAATGGAAAGCCCAGAAATAAAATCACACATCTACAGACAGCTAATCTTTGACAAAGGAGCTATGAACATACAACGGAGAAAGGAAGGCT